AAAAAAAAAAAAAAAAACACATACGTGTCATGTATCATAAGCATGTGCACAGGCAAACGAAAGCATACCGTGGAGAATGAGGAGTACAACGAAAGGGGGGGAAGGGGTGATATAAAACCTTCAGGTGGGATGAACAGGGAGACCTACCACTTCTTGCTTAAAAGCACATCGCCATCGCTATGCGATGGTATGGCATCTGTTCTTACGTCTCCCCACAAGAGGACAAACTCATTTTTTTTTTTATTTTCTCCACGATATGTGTGTAGCATTGTGTCGTCGGCACTGCTACTGTACTACCCAGTTGGTATGACCTCCCCTTCCTTGTTGTTTAAGCAGATGGTGAAGTGGTTGGACTCGGAGGACAACAGCTCGTGGATGCTCTGCGAGAAGGGAGTGGGGTGTGGGGGGGAGTTAGGGAAGTGGAGGATAATTGGCATAAAAGTGGTGACGTGTTGACAACGTGGCGGCGATGTGGTAACGAAGTGCCGTCGAATTGCCTCTAATTCGCTTCGAGACGAATTTTCTCCCTCACACGAACCGCGATGTTGCGGGTGCCGTCCCGTATGCACAGGAAGTCGAGCTTGTATTCTTTGAGTAAAAAGTTTTGTTTTTTTTTAATGCGATTTTTTATCATCCGCAAGAGGTCTTCCAGGCTCATGTGCTTCTTCACACGAACGGGAATGTTCATGTTTAGGTTTCCTGGTAGGGGGTGCGTAGCGGTGGTGAAGCGGTGTAGTGATAACGCTATGAAGTGGTAACGCGGCGGAACTTCCATGGCAGCTACCCCCCCTGGGCCTACCATTCGAAAGGACGAAATTGAAATGGCCTCCCTCCATTCGTCTCCGTTCGTAGAGTGAAATGTTATGATCCTCCATGTTGGCAATTAGTGTGTCCACCTCCCTTTTATCCTTGCGGAAGAATTTTAAAATGCAGTCCTCGAGGAGTTCTTCCGCGATATAGGACACGATCTGAATATGAGTGTAAGATAGGGGCGGGGAAAAAACAATAGTCTTTTTACATGGACATGCGGAGAAGAGGCAGACCATTGGGGGGAACCTCTCCCCTGTGGATGATGAGTCAAGACCCCAATGAATTTGATACACGATCCTATTTATTTATTTTTCCCCATGTTAACCTTTTCCGTGGCTATAAAGGCGATGGTGTTTTTGAGCAAATGTTTTGTGACTTGATTACGCCATTCGATTTGGCTTCGATTGTTCTGTCCGTGGTTCTGCAAAAAAAAAAACAAAAAAAAAAAAAAAAAAAAGCGGGGCGATGAAAAGCGACATGTATGTGTAAATGAGTGGAACGTGTGCATGCGTCGAGCACAAATTGTTTGTTGCAGAAATGTGGAGGAGCGAATTGGGGACTCTTCCCTCCTCCCCCTGCAGTGTACCTGCTCCTTCACCTCTTGGACATTTTTCCTCACAATGGAATTTATAAGACTCCCGGATAACCCGAAGGTGTTTATTTTGTTGAAGATGTGGAGGCACCTGAGGGGGGGGATCGGGGCAAGGGACGATTAAGCAGTTATGTGGTTGACGGTCTCCCTTGTAGGCATGCATAAACGGTGCGTCCGCGAAACAACTGGGGAGAAGTACTGGGTATGGGGTAGATGGACCCACCTGGAGAGCTCGGCCCCGTCAGCCATGACCCCCAAATTGTCCCGCTGAAAATCAGTGAGGTGCGAATACGTTTGTACATTCTGCTCGTGGTTCAATTGCACATCCGTTTTCTTGTGCTCCATTGCCTTAACATTTTCCTCATAGGTAAGCTGAATGGTAGCTTCGTTCACAATTTGTTTGGTCATATATTTTGAAAATCTTTTTATTTCTTCTTCCTGGTAGATGGGACTTGTTTGAGTGTAACTCACTTTTTTTTTTCTCTCTCTCTCTGATATGATTTGTTCATATAAAAAGGTACCATCATTCGTCAAATTCTTTAGTTCTTGATTGGATTCTGTTATTTGTATGCTTTTATCGCTGCACAAAATTTTCTTCACTGGTGATGTAAGATTTTGTATGTACGCATCTACTGTCTGACTTGTTCCAGTGGGGTTGACTTCACTTGGTTTGGCATAAAATTTTTTTCCACTAATGATATAATTTTCCTTTTTATTCTTCCCTTCTGGTGCTCGTTTGGTTATTTCCCCCTTTGGGGGTTTATTCACCTTATCGGCTGCGTGGTTGTGAGGTTGTCTCAACGTTGTGTTGATGAAAGTGGAGTAGATAATCGACTGGACGGTCTCGTCGTCCTTGGCACAAGGACCATCACCTCCAGTGGCTGCGCCGCTACTACGACTGGCTCCAATTATCACATTTTTTTTTGGCCGTTTTTCCAAGAGCAACATTTGACGAACTGCATCTACTCGATCTTCTCCCCCACCAAATTTGACACACCTGTTCATATTTTTTGAAGTCGTCTGATCGTTCATATTTTTGTACACGTAACTTACGCAGTCAATGTTGCTTTTTTGTAGTGTCTTGTCGACGTTGTCCAGGTAGTGTTTCTTTGTCTTTTCTCTAATGTGAGTTTCATTTGGCATGCTTGTGGTGGTTGTCCCGAGTCGCTTCACTTTGTGTCTCTGCCTCGAGTTTTCCCTCATTCCCTGCGCGACCTTCGCTTCGTTGTTGCGGCCATTTTTATGACCGTCTTTTTGACCGTCTTTTTGGCCGCCTTTTTGATGGCCTTCTGGATCACCTTTTTGGCCACCTTCTTGACCTCCTTTTTGATGGCCTTTTTCACCACCTTTTTGATCACCTTTTTTATCCCCTTTTTTGTGGCCATTTTTTCCCCCTTCATTGTCCTTCCCAGTGGTGAGGTCGATCGATTCCCCTGCTGCACCCTGCAAACCCATTTTGTTTTTTTCCTGCCCCTTTTTCTTCCTGCGTCTGGTCGAGAAGGCTCTCTCACTGGAAGAGGCGCGACAGTGATACGTATGTGTACAAGATTTCCTACATTTGTGCGGGAGTCAAACTTCCCCCCCCCTCCCCAGCTGCGCACTCACACACTTGTCAGATTTGTAGAGGCCTCCATGCGGGAGGTCGCCTTGAGAGTATGTCCCTCGATGGGTGCAATGCACACATCTGCGCGTGTGGATAACTCTACTGTTGCGTTCGTCCCTTTTTTTTTTTTTTTTTTTTTTTAGCCACTGCCCCCACCATGTACAGGAACAAATACCAGCCGAACATTTTGTCCCTCCTGCTGAGCGCGGGGTTTTAAGCGTTTTTTTTTTTTTTTTTTTTTTTTTTCCCTTTCCTCCCTTTGTTCGCTTCTGCGCTTCTTCCTTTCTTCGCCTTGTTTGTTTTTCTTCTGACGAGCATCATCCCCCTCCTGTGTAGCGCATTGTTAACGTGGGGCGTCCATTCACGTGTGCGATAGGCGGATTCAAATGTGCAGCACACCGCGAGGAAAAAAAAAAAAAAAAAAAAAAAAAAGTTCGAGACAGGTATGCTATGCCGCTATACCTCCCTGTGCTGCTGCTCCCACCGGGGGACAGACATTCTATAGTCACATTTCATAAAAAGGGGGGGGGGGAAAATTAATGATCATTTAAAATGCTGTAAAATAAAATTACAACCTCTGGTTGCTCAATAAGTGCGAATGGTTTAATATTGACAATTTATGAGGAACAAGAGATTGCCCGTGGACATTTTTTTTTTTTTTTTTTTTTTGGCTACATTGGATGTTGTGCAGGGGGGGGAGAGCAGTGGCCTCACTAGGAGGAAGTGATTTATCGAACATGTGCATACGTCTGTCTACCGTATAGGTGATACATATATGGGATGCCTGGCACAAATGAACAAATGAAGAAAAGACCCCAAGGGTGTCATTCTTTTTTGTCAATCTGTTGAGAAGGAGAAGAAGAAGGGGGTGGAGAAAAAACACAAAAGTGTGTCTCTTTTAACCACCCCTCCTTTAGGATCCTTCATTTGAGCAGGTGAACATACACACCAGAGCGATAACCATGGAGAAAGGGGAAAGCGAAAAGACCGGATACCCCCCTCCCTCAGGTAAGCATCAACGGGACATAGTAACGCATGACCAATTTGCAAACTCCATTTATGAAAAAGAGGGCCAATGGATGAGTGAACCTATGAAGGCAGCGATGTAAATTCTCCTTCCAGTGGAGGGATTTTCCACCACCACCCACAAATGGTATGAACAAATGAGGATGCTCAACGCGCAATGCATAACACGCAACAGGTGAGGAAGAGGAGGAACCCTTTGACGAAGCAGTTAATGGATCTGATGTAGAAGAAAAAAATACAGGGGTTCATATTTATCCTAATAAAAGCACCTATGAGGGTTTTTATGTGCATGGAAAGAAATCAGGATTGGGGAAATTGACCAAGAGGAATGGAGAATTTTACCATGGTAATTAGACACAGATGGACGCCTCGAAAAAAAAAGAAAGGACGTATAGAACGTTACGGCAAGGCCTGATGCGCTCTTCTTCCGTTTTGCCTCATCTGAGGCAATTGAGACAAAACGCTTTGTAATGTTTTTTTTTTTTTCCTGTCTCCCCATATTGTGTTGAAATCCATTTCTCGGGCACCCCGCAAAAAGGCAATTTCCAAAATGGACAGAAGCACGGAGGAGGGTTCCAGCTATACTCAAGTGGAGACTTCTACTACGGAGAGTGGAAGCACAACAAGAAGGACGGCCAGGGCATTTACTTCTTTTCCTCCACCGGGCAATACGTGAGGCAGAGCGGTGCAGCGGCGTAGCAGCGCAGCAGAGTGATAGAGAGACAGAGCGAACATGCAATCAGGCAGACGTTACATGCGCATTTATATTCTTACATTATACCATTTTACACATCACCGCTTACACCTCACCGCTTCCACATCAGTACTTCGGCGAATGGTGCAAGGGAAGCCTCATCAGCGGGGCCTGGATCATCTCCAGCGAAGCAAAATACCTGGGGACCTTTTTTAGGAACCTACCAAAGTTCAAAGGGAAGTTTCTGTTTGCCAACGAATCAAAAATTAACGTCTTTTACGAGCAGACGTTGGGTATTTCCAGTGCGTATGACGGGGGCGCGGAACGCGTGGGGCTACACTGGAGGTCGCTCTAGTGTGTACAAACGTGTGCGTGTGCAGATGCATCGTTGGAGGTGATTATCCAATGTGTTTTCCATTCTGTTTTTCATTCTGTTTTCCAATATGTTTCCCATTTTGTTTCCCTTTTTTTTTTTTTTTTTTTTTTTTTTTTTTTTTTTTTTTTTTTTTGCTGTGCCTGCTGGCCCACCTATCCTTCACGCCAACACAAAACAAGACAAGCGCCCCCCCCCTTGGGGGATCACACGAAAGGGGACTTGCGCCGCCTGCTTTGAATTATATCCCTTTTATAATAAATGACATTTGGGGAGTGAGAAAAAAGAACTATAAAAAAAAATAATTTTTTTTTAAATAATACTGATATAAAAATGCCGAATGATCTTGTAGGAAGTCCTAACCCGCACTGTACACATTGATGTCGCTTGGGGGTTCTCCATTTTTTTTTTTTTTCTGAAGAATATTTCGCACACGCGTTCAAGGGAATGTATTTGCATATTTGAACATGAGGTGTTACTGTCTGCTAGACTGACGTATTCAAACGTATTTACATAGACTAGTACGTGTCCAATTCAACACCATCCTTCCCACGCACTGCCTTACACACACGTGTGCGCTTCTACCACTTCTATCACTTCTATCGCGTCGATGTGTCCGCGTGCACCCCTTTACGCATCGCCAAGATGAATACGAACCACCAAAACGACCCACCCCCCCAACTGTACACGCTAACAATAAGCGATGCCATAAATAGGTATTCCCTTATGGGGACTCGAGACTACCATAGTGGGAGTTTCGAACTGGACCGACATGTTTCAGAGGAGAAGGACGTCTGCAGTTATAGCGATTGGACAATTTTCCAAGACGACACATCTGATGAAGAGGGAGAGTTACAAACGTATACTTCTATACTTCTTGGTAGGTCCCTCTTGTGTCTCCTTTTTTTTTTTTTTTTTTTTTGATCAACCGCAAATGGTGCTCTCTTTGACCGTGCATGTTTTTTTATATCCGCTTGGCTCAGCTTGCACCTGTCCACTTTTATCACCTTTTAGCAGGTGGGACGAATAAACCAATACGCCGAAGGGCCACGGAAGGGCAATATGACCCCTGTGGGTGGAGGGGGAAGATCAAAGGTAAGCCCATCACCCGTTCGAATGGTTCACATATATATTTATCTGTCCACGCTTTACACGGATGAAGTTTCCCTTAGCTTCTAATCCGTAAGGGATTTAAATTAGGGTTCTACTTTTTTCTTTCAACCACTTATATACAAAATCACTCTTTTTTAAAAGGTGCGATGGTCATTATATATACTTGCACGATTTTCACCCCCGTGAAGACTCCCCAAAGGAAAGACCCATGCATGTCCTCCTAAACAAGCATGCTGAACAAGAAGCAGACTGGACTAAACATATTCTTAACATTCTTCTAACCGCGGAGGAGGAAAATAAATCAAAGGACTTCCGAGACATAATGAAAACAATTGAGCATGAGGAGATAAAGGACTTAGTGTTGTATCATTCTAAGGTAGTCCTGTCTGAAATTAAAAATATATATAGAGTGTTGGGGGGTTTAGTGACGGGTAGCGGTTGGGTGGGATGCAAAGGACATTTCGATGTTTCTCCTCGTGAAGAAAAACAATTGCACAGGTTAAGAAGGAACAGGGGGGGGAAAACAAATTTAAGGGTTAAAAAGTGTGACCTATTGAATCGGTACTATAGGAGGCTGTGCAGGATCTACGAGGAGGAGAATTCTCTTTTGCGGCGGTTATGTATGGACAGTCCAGTTGGTCAGGCGAGCGAGGTTCAAGCACCCACGAAGGGAAACGACAGCATAACCACGCAGAACCGTCTCCTAAAATGCGGAATCACGTACCAAGGTTCGTGCATCCGAGTTAGATAAAAAACGCAATCAACTGCAACTCCATTTCTTATAGTAACACTCACAATGACTGAAAAAAAAAAAAAAAAAAAAAGTGTGTGTTCCCTCTTCTTTTTAGCTAAAGTAGGGAGAAATTTTCCGGTCGAGATAAAATCAAAATGGATCCGAGGTGCACTAAAAAGGGCGAGTAAGAACCGATTAAATCTAAAAGGAGATACTCGAATTTTCCGTTTTGTTCCCCATGTGGACATGGCCAAGAAGCAGCTTGACGAGGAATCCCTCGCTGATGAAAGAAGTGGACCCAATGGACAGGAGACCCAAAAGAGTCAAGCAGGAGCTCCAATGATGAGCACATCGACGTGTTACATAAACGCGGAGGAGTCGGAAGTGAAGAGCTGCAACGAGATGGCTGCGTCACATTTTACCAATGATAACAACTGTAATGGTGATACAACGATGGATGTGGACTTAAAAGGGGAAGAGGTGGAATGCACAAAACGGATTACTCAAGAGGAAACATCTATTCGTCAAAATGATGCCCTTGTGGGTGAAGAAACATCAGCGACCAATGTGAACGCGTCAGGTGGGGGAGACACCGGTGCAGATGTAATGGTGAACGAGCAGAGTGAGCAGACAGGTGAAGTACCCGTGGAAGAGCACAATAAGAAAGGGCTGAACGATGGATACGAAAAAAGGGATAACAATCTCATGGTAGCAAACAGTAAGTTGGAACAAATGCATAAATCACATGTGGTTGAGTCCAGTATGGACAAGAAAACTAAGTCAAAAAAAAAGAAAAAAGTAGCAGAAAGGAGAGAGAAGGAAGGGAATAAAAAAAAAAAAAAAATTTTAAATGTCCATCAGACAAATGTAGTTACTGAGAAGGAAGAGGAGAAAACAGGCGATCAACCCCTGGCGGACATCCTAGATAAAGACACAGAAAAGATGAACGAGGGGGGAGTTTTTTGCCAGGAGGTTTACCACGATTGCACTCATTAGTATATGGCATACAATGAAGATAAGGAGTGCTTCTGTTTTTTTTTTTTTTTTTTTTTTCTTTTTTGTGTCATTTTTGAAAGGATGAAAGTTGTCGACAAATGGTTGTATCGTCAATTTTTTGAAATGTTTAAAAAATGAAGCGAAGCTGTTTTGGCTAGCTGTTTAAAAAAAAAAAAAAAAAAAAAAAAAAAAAAAAAAAGATAGCTGTGTGTGTGCACGAAGCCCGTGTAATCTTTACCTTCCATGTGTGTACGTGCGCATTTTTATGGAAGCACTGGTCAAGTGCATAGGTTGTGAGGACCTCATCCGTATCAACGCTGTAGACGACGCGGCAGTGGTGGGAATGATCCTCGTTCTTCTTTCTCCCTGTTAACGCGTGCCACGGAGAAAAAAAAAAAAAACACAACGGAATAACGCAAAAATGGTCGTAATGATGATTTCTAAATGAGTGCATACAAGTCCCCAAGAGATCCGCTCTGAATGCACACGCGAAGAGAAAGAGATCCCTCAAAGATGTGCGCAAGTTCGCGCGCAGGGGCCCGGGAACCCTTCTGGAGGGACATTGCACGGATAGATAGGCTGATTTACGAGTACGAAAAAAAAGTACAAGCTTGTGATCATAAAAAAAGGCAATGCTACAGGCTTCTATCCCTGTGGACCGACTATGACAACTGGTTGAGTGAGACGTGCAAAAGGTATGAGTGGAAGGTACGTGCGCTAAGGAGGGTGCAGACAGGCTCGATGGAAAGTGCCACGCGTCAAGATGAGAAGTGTAGTAGCAACATAAATGAGTGTGCCCCGAGTAGAACCCCATGTGCGGCATCCTACCACTCTAGCTACTTATCCAAATGGACCTCCGTCCAATCTACGGTGGGGGAACGGCTGCGTAAAAAAAGGAAGGAAACAAAATTACGCGGTAGGAAGCTAGCGGGGGAAAAAACAAGGGTGAAAATAAAAGGTCAGAGAAAACCCCAATTAAAGTGTACACGCAGAAAGGATGAACCCTCTAGACGCGGTAATCAAAAGGTGCAGGAAGATTGTGAAGGGGGAAACATAAAGGGGGGGTATTCCCTCGAAGGACTGGAGAAGGGGCAAGAGGGAGGAGAGGAGAACAACGGGGACGACGCGGCTGAACACAATCGGGAAGAAGTATACGAGAATGGAGGTGAACTGCTGGGTGAAGCGAATCAAACGTTAGAGGAAACTGAGGGGGGAAGGGAAGCAGACAGTTCGGAGAAGATTCATCCAAATGAGCAAAGTATGGCTGTCGACAGGGCAGGTGCACATGAAGCACTAGAGGAAGGAAAAATATATTCAAGTCAGGATACAGAAAAGGAACCCTGTCACATGCTGCACAACCCTGTGGGTGAAAAAAATGAGAACAGCTTGGAAATGGTGCCAAGTGATATTGGGGGATGTCCACATACAATGGGGAAAGATGAGGAAGAGGAAAATAACCAATATAACGAATTGGAGTTTTCGGAGGTGCACGTGAGGGAAATTATACTGGAAGAAGGAGACACACAAAGGGGTGGAAGCCCCGAGGGGAGGGAAGACATGGCAGAGGTGAGAAAAAAGGCAGAAAAGAGGAAAAGTACGCGAGGAACGGAGAAAAAGACAAAGGGTAAAAAGGAGGGGCATAAGAAGGGAAATACAGAGGAGAACAGGGCCCGAAAGAGGGAGGGAAAAAAAGCTAAGGGGACAAGGCTGCAGAAGGAGAAGCAGACAATGATGGAGGAGGGGGAGGAAGGAGAAAAGGCACCGGAGCAGAACATGACAAAAGCAACGGAGAAAATGCTGGATGAAGGGAAAGAGATAAAGGTGGAAGAACAATATGATGTTAAGATGGAGGAAGAAAAGGAAGAAAATATTGAACATGAAAAAGAGATAAAGCTAGGGGAAGAACAAGAGACAACGGTAAATGAAGGAAAAGACAAAAATATAGAAGACGAAAAGGAGCAGAAGGTGGAGGAAGTGGAGGAGGTGAAGGTAAAGGAAAAAACGGAAGACGTAATTGAAGTTGAAGGAAATGCCAAATTGGACGTGGAAAAAGAGGCGATGGTGCAAGAAAGAGGGGAAATGTATACGGAGAAAGAGAAGGAGAAGAAGGTGTCGGAAGACTCAACGATTAGGGAAGTCACGCAGCAAAATATCGAAGATGAAGGAGAAGCGAAAGTGGACGCGGAAAAAGACGAACCACGGGAAATGTTAAACCAAGTTGAACAAAAAAAAAGCGACAGTGAAAACGAGCCGGGGAAGACAGCGGAGAACGAAATCGTTCATCATATTCTCAGCGAGTATTCCAACACAATTCAGTACACGAGTTTTCTCGATTACATAAAAAATAAAAATGACCCAGAGTAGGGGCAAAGTGGAGATACGAAGAAACGCCAAATGACAAAATGGAAAAAAAAAAAAAAAAAAAAAAAAAAAGCTAGTCAATCTTGTAAGCAGAATGAATGGCGACGATACCCATGGTCATAGTAGAGTAGGAAATATTTCGAAAAGAGTTCTGGTGCATAAGCTGTGATAACTCATCAGGAGTTAAAAAGGTTTGAATACTCTCCGCCAAGTACTTGTAAGAGTCTTCACTACTTGCTACAATTTTCCCAAGTAGGGGAATGATGTTCATTAAATAAGCATTATAAATCGGTTTCAAGTAGGCACAATTGACCTTGCTAAATTCTAAGCATAAGAATCTTCCCCCAGGCTTCAACACACGATGGATTTCTTTTAACGATTTGGGAATGTTGGTAAAATTTCGAATGCCAAAAGAGAGGGTAACTATGTCTATTGAGTTGTCTTCAAAGGAATTTAAATTTTCTGCATTTTGAATTACCCATTTGATGTTCCCCTCGTAATTCATTTCCTTTGCTCGTTTCATCCCTACGTTCATCATATCCTTATTCACATCGCCCACGATTATTTCGGGGGTAAACCTTGAGTAAAATTTATCAGGATGGTCTTCCCCACCATAGAAACAGCGGCCCTGATTCATCTTCTCCAAATAGTATTTGTACCTTTCTAATATGCGAAAGGCTATATCTCCTGTGCCGCCAGCTAGGTCTAATATTTTACAGGTGGAAAAATTGGCGGAGCTTTCCTGCCCTTCGTCTATTGTTTCACTTGGGTGTGCCCCTTGGTGTCTCGATGCCCTGCCGCTTTGGCCTTCTTCTCCGTCACCGAAGTGGATTCCCTCGTTGGGGGCCGTTTCCCAAAATGCGGCTTTTTCCCCTTTTCTATTCTGACTTACCCAATTTGCCTCACTTTTGTGAATTTCTTCTTGCATTTTGTAGCTATGATATTTTAAAAATAAATCCAGCTCTTTCACCAGCTGGTCCTTCCAACACCGATGCAAGCGAAGACTCATCAAGTCATTCATCAGGTCGTACTTGTTGGACACATGACTGAATAAGTTGTAAACTAGCTTTGACTTTATCTCTTCTGTTACTTTTTTGAAGCCGAAGTTGTACAGCCCTGAGGTGGAATGTGACAGGTGAGGGGGACGGGGGCGAAAAAGAAAAAATAAAGAAAAATGTCAACAAGTGTCACAAAATTTAGAAAATAAAATATGAACAGGTCAGACGAATTGCAGCATTGTATGAGGAAGCACAAAACTGCAAGCACATCTGCACACACTTCTGAAGCGCCTATAAAATAGTAAAGATTCCCTCAGTGAGGATCCCACTCCTAGGGATATAGAGCATTACTTTCTCCGGTGCCAAAGGAGTCACTCCCTGTGCTAAAAGACTTCACTCTTGTCCTTAAAATGGCCCCCAGCCTTTTCTCCCACAAATACCCCCCATGGAGGGAGTTGTAAAACTGTAAGGCTTTCATTGTGCTGCGCTGGTGATGTGTGTGTGTGGAGGGACAGGTGAAAAGAAGAAGAAGAATCTCCTATGAGTTTTATTTTGTAGAGGCAATCCTTAACGTGGTTTCTCAAATAGCTGGAGCCGGTAACGGACACAGCGACATGGTTGAAGGTGAATCCATTCCTTGTCGTGTAACCCTAAAAGCTGCTTCATCAATGTGGCTTATTCGCAACATAAGTGGTAATGTGACGAGTAAGTAAAAAATTTTGGCGTAGAGGAGATAATTCACATCAGGGTACTTTATTTTATTTTAATTTTGTGGACCATAAACCGCCTCAGCGTCAGTTAAAAAAAAAAAAAAAAAAAAAAAAAAAAAAAGGTATTGCCTTCTTCGTGATGAACAAATGGATGGGGAGAAAATGGAAAAAAATCATGGTGCGCATATCACTTTTTCATTTAAGCGTGGCTGGGTAAAGCACAACTCTGACTAGAAATTTACCTATGTATGCTTTGTTCTTTGTTGAACGTTGGAAGGGACTGATGTGTGCTGCGTTATTTTCCCTAGGCTTCCTCTCGCGCGCATGGCAGCAGCACGTTGTAGGTCCCAGCGGGTAGTCCTTGGCGAGAGCGCAGGGAAGGAGCAGCGATAAGAAGCAGCGGTAAGGAGCATACGCTAAGGGCAAAAGCCAAAACGATGTGCAAGGGGTACGAAAAGGCTACACAAACACTATAGAAAAACACCAGGAAAACGCTATGCAAAGGAGCGGAACGATACTGAGACGCCTCGGCGCAGGTACAAACCGGCAGATGGGCAGAAGAGCGAGCAGTGTTTCTTACGGCTACCTAAACCTAAACGTTAATGACAAAATTATGCCCTACGTGGAAGGGTTGAAGAAAAATATAATATACGTTACCAGTTCCAAAGACTGCAAAGCGTACGTGCAGGAAATTCAAAAAAGTGTCCAGGCTGGAAAATTGAATTGTATTGGCCTGGATGTAGAGGGATATAAAATAGGGAGAAACGGCACAGTAAGTCTTGTACAAGTGTGTGCACAGGATGATGTTTACCTGTTTGACGTTTACAAATGTGATAATACGTATTTGTTCATTAAAAATTTAAAGGAGTTGCTGGAAGATCAACGAGTTGTAAAGATTACACATGACTGCAGGGAGGACTGTTCCATTTTGTTCAACCAATATAGCATTAGCCTTAATAACATATTCGACACGCAAGTAGCTTTCAATTTATTTTTGAAGGAAACGAAAAAGGACCTGTATCAAATAAGTTACGATGACTTACTATATAAATGCTTACTTGTACATAATAAGCACAAAATATATTTTCATAAGATGATTTCTCTTGATCAGAAAATATATTTGAAGAGACCCATAGGGAAGGAATTGATACATTATGCCATCCAAGATGTTATATACTTAAAGCCGCTCATGTTGAATTTGGTGGACAGGATACTTCGTGTGTGTAAAGATGGTCAGGCAGGATGTGAGCCATTTTGTGAAGATGACTCGCGCAGCATTGAAAACAGTGATGATGTGATTAGCGAAGGGGTACACAGCAACCTAAGTGAACATAAGGCTAACTTAATAAAGCGTGTTGCAAAGCTTAGTGAGAGGTACATCAAGTATCAGTTTTTAAACACTCATGTTAAAAATGAGAAAGAACTACAGAAGGGAATGATGCTCGATGGCATGATCGTCTCCTGCAACAATTTAAACCTCTATGTCAAATTGAATTTGAGCAGGAGGGGCGTTATAACAAATTGTCTGAGGAACGAGTTCGAAATCGGGGACGTGGTTAAGTGTGTCATCCTGGGGTTTGGCAGTAATGATTACATCAAACTGGGGTTGTACGACCCGTCCCTGTGTGTGGAGACACATGAAGTGCGGCAGTAAAATGCGACGCACTGGTTCCTATCCCTAGCTCTGTGCAGGCCCATGCACACGTATGGAGCAGCACTGGCATTTTTCGCACACGCAACTTTGTATTTGTTAATTCATTTTGTTTGATCGATATGAAGCAGCACGGTTTGATTGTCATTTTTTTAGTTTTTTTTTTTTTTTTTTTTTTTGTCCGTTTTTTGCTAATTTCCCCCGCAAGCATATGTGTGTGTGCTTATTTCCCTGTTTGAAAGTCTGCCCCCTTTGTTGTGAAAGGTCATTTTAGACTGAACACACAGAAGGCGACACGGTGAAGAAGCCCTTCATCCTTTTGAGGAGAAAGCAAACCACTGCAGCAATTGGTGTATTAATATTTTGGAAAAATGGACATATGAACATTTCAACATAACTGTGGTTATATAATGATTGGAGGGGGGGGGGAAAAAAAAAAGCTCCCCAAACTGCCCATTTTGCGTTAATTGCCTAAACTGTTCATATTATTTTTAACAAATTATTGCTGTTCAGGTAAAAATGAGGGAAAAAAAAAAAAAAAATAATCACAAACGACAACAGGTAGTTATGAATGCCGTATGCTAAGCATGTCGCTCTGTGAAAATTGTTGCGATGGGGATACGACGCCTGGGGGAGTTTTATAATTTTCCCACATTGGGCTGCGTTTCACTTTTAGACAACTCCCGTTTGGGCTGAATGGCTAGGGCGACTTTAAAAATTGCATCGCTGAAATTGCGTCCTCATTCGTGCATGCCCCAATTTTTCGCTGCTCAATTTTGCGCGCTCCAATTCTCCACTTGGGCATTTTTTCCCGAAAGCCGCGCATTGCTTAAACGTGCCCGTGAATTATTTTTATTTTATTTTTTTTTTTTTTTGCATGTGTATAAAGCGTAAAAATGATATTCGCACAAAAGAAAGCACACGACAGCCGCGATTTTGTGAGGAACGAAAGAATGAATGGAGCAAGCGCACAGCTCAGCACGAAATCTAGGTGCACGTGTGCGTGCTTTGCTTACATGTGAGTACATCACCGGTGCATGCATGCTTCACCAACCTTCGAGGATACGCACGAATGAGGGTGCGCGAAATGGGGCTACAACTTCAAGGCACGTGCTTTCATTTTCGAAAAGAATGGACATAATTAACTTCTCAACAGAATTGGGGAAGGAACCTCCCTGGTAAAGCTACACCTCGTTTTGTAGTGTTCATGTGGATCTTACTCTGTCGAATTGTATTTCTTTATATTATTATTATTACTTTCTTTTTTTTTTTTTTTTTAACTTTTGTTGCATAAGCAGAGAAGATTGGTGAGTAATCAGACACATTACCATTTTATACGAACTGGTTTTCACCTTTCATGTTAATACTACACACGTTTCTCATTTTTTGCAAAGGCCCCAGGTGTACGGGCGTGTATGTCACACGAGCATTTGGGCAGTATATAAGGTGTGAATTTTTTTTTTTTTTTTTTTTTTTTTATTCCACCGCTATCTGTGCATAATTATTTTTTCTTTGCTTGGCGGGTTAGTGGACTCTACATGAAAGTTACGCAGCTGGGTATTTAAAAATGCGCCCCCGCATTTGGGCAATTTGCGCAACATGCATAACATGCACAACTTAGTTGCATTCGAGATTTTACGCTAGTTCTACACGTACACGGGGTTTTCCTTGACACTCCTTTTGTTTTTTTGTTTTTTTATATATTTGCGGAGGAAAGCGCTGCAACGTCCTCCACACCCATTTACACCGCCTGCCGCGAAACTGATAAGCAAATGCGTGCAGGTCAAATTTGCCTTTTCGATTTCATGTTAGCTTAAACGCTAAGCAAAGTACACCAAGGGGAACAAAGAAGAACAAGAGGAAGAAGTACTTTCCCCGATCACCCACTTGGATTAATACTTTACCTAAACGGGAAATAAAAGCAGCGCACAGAAAAAAAAAAGTACGCATGCAAGGAATGCAGAAGGTGCAAATAGGAAAAAGGAACTTACATAGTAGCAACCCAGCCAACATATATTATTAAGGAAGCTAAAATATAAAACGCCTTGAAAAAAAAAGAAAAATTTATATATTACTTGTTGCGAGGTCGCATCACAGCATTATATGAAAAATAGCCATAAATGTATAAAATTGATATAATTTCCCCCCCAGGTTGATCCCTATAAAAACAAAAAAAAAAAAACCACGTACAGTTGTAGAATACCCACTTCTTCAAACCATAAAAAAAAAAAAAAAGTACATATACGCATTTAGTTACATGCACAAAATTTTCCTAACGCATATCCAAACGGAAGTTAAGGCTTAGAAAGGGAAAAGAAGAAATTCGTTTGTAACCCCAGGGGGTGGGAAAGAGCTGAATTGCAAGGAAAAAATAAACAAAAAAAACAAAAAAAAAAACCCCAAAAAAGCACATATATTTGTATGCACCGTGCATATGTTCATATTTATTTTATAATACGTGCCAAGGTGCACAACAACAGGCATGCATTACCCATTCTACACGTGGGAACTTTACATCGTTGCGCGGACACTGACGCTGACTGTTATTAGGTATGCAATTTATATAAATGATTCACTTTTGCAAAAGTATTTTTATATATGTAAATCAAAAACACTTACCAAAATAACACAAGCTGAAAAAGCTAAACAAAACACGATTTCTTTTTTTTTTTAAAGTATATATGTTAATATGTACGTCATTTTACATTTGTAGAACTTTAAAAAAGCGTTGGAAAAAAAAAAAAAAAAAAAAAAAGCGGAACATAAAACTCATTTGTGTATTTTATTTTTTGCGAGGAGTCACACGGTATATATATATATACACGTGAGTAATCCGAAAATTGAACTATTGTTTGTTTGTTTGTTTGTTTTCTTTTTTTTTCTTTTTTTTTTTTTTTATTGAGCTCGGAAGGGCATTTGAATTTTTTTTGATGAGTGAATACGCTCCTTTTGAGAGCGCCCCTTCGCCGCCTACATCGTGCTGCGACGCGGATAACACCAAACGCGCTTGCGTGAAAGCGGAAGGTGTGCCCTGCGTCCTGCGCCCTGTCGGAGGTGAATACACTTAAGGAGAGGAGTGTGAGAGAAGCTACCCCAAGGGGTACACTTACGCGTATAAGCGTAACGTACAATAACGTGCTTGCGGGCATACGTGTGCAAATTTTTGTGCGCATGATTCCACTCAGAGCTCTTTTGTTAAAGGAGTCCTGCTTGGAACGACGACCTATCGAGACAGCACCGATTAGGACGAATTTGTGTATGGTCTAGCGGGTGCGTCAGTTTTCCCCCCCCCCATCCCCACACGTAATACGAGACAGTCACAATGAAGAGCGGCAGCGAGATTTCTTCCTCCCAGTCGTTAAAAAAGAGCGGAAATGATTGTTTCTTTAATACGTCCCTGATATATGTATTGGCCGCCTGCCTGGCGTCATTCCTCTTTGGTTACCAAGTTAGTGTGTTAAATACCATCAAGGATTTCATCATAATTGAATTCGGATGGTGCACAAATAAAGCAGTTAACTGTGATGAAAGTACGTTGAAGAGTTCCTTCCTGTTGGCATCGGTCTTTATAGGTGCCGTGGTTGGAAGTGGATTTTCAGGATTCCTAGTTCAGAATGGAAGAAGATTTTCGCTGTTAGTAATATACAACTTTTTTATTCTGGTGAGTATATTGACATCGATTACGCATCACTTCCACACCATGTTGTTTTCGCGTCTTCTAAGTGGATTCGGAATAGGACTAATCACAGTCAGTGTACCCATGTACATCTCAGAGATGACCCACAAGGATAAAAAGGGCGCTTATGGAGTCCTGCACCAGTTGTTTATCACCTTTGGTATATTCATAGCCGTGCTGCTAGGAATGGCCATGGGAAAAGTACCAGAAGGAAATGGAGTACAGGTTTTGGGATCTTTTCAGGAGATATGGTGGAGACTTATGTTTTTTTTCCCATGCATTATCTCCATCGTGGGTATCATTCTACTGACTTTTTTCCTTAAAGAGGAGACTCCATACTACTTATTTGAGAATGGAAAAGTAGAAGAATCGAAGAAAATTTTACAAAAGATATATGGAAGTGATAATGTGGATGGTCCTTTGAAGGCAATTAAAGATGCAGTGGAACAGAACGAGGCAGCGAAGAGAAGTTCCATTTCGTTAATGAGAGCGATGCAGATTCCTTCCTACCGCTATGTCATCCTGCTAGGTTGTATTCTGTCCGGTTTACAACAGTTCACGGGTATTAACGTCTTGGTGTCCAATTCGAACGAACTATACAAAGAATTTCTGAGCAAAGAATTGATAACCACCCTAAGTGTGATAATGACTGTAGTTAATTTTTTAATGACCTTTCCAGCGATCTACATTGTGGAGAAGTTAGGAAGAAAGACTTTGCTCCTTTGTGGATGTGCAGGAGTTATTCTTGCCTTCTTACCTACTGCCATAGCTAATCAGATTAATAGCACTTCCGATTTCGTGAAAAAACTTTCCATCGGTGCAACTTTCGTGATGATAATTTCCTTTGCCGTTTCGTACGGACCCGTGTTGTGGATTTATTTGCACGAAATGTTCCCCTCAGAGATTAAGGACAGCGCAGCAAGCTTGGCTTCTTTGGTCAACTGGATGTGTGCTATCATAGTGGTGTTTCCATCTGACATAATTATTAAGAAGTCCCCCACGATTCTGTTTTTCATTTTCGCTGGTATGTCGATTCTGGCCTTCCTTTTCATCTTCTTCTTCATTAAGGAGACAAAGGGCGGCGAGATTGGAACAAGTCCATACATCACCATGGAAGAGAGACAGAAGCATGTAGGCAAGTCGGCCGTGTAAGCAGTGCAGTCGACAAGGGAGGAAGATCTGTGAGGAGCACTGATGGGGGAAGCGCATTCGATGCAGTTGCATGGATGAATCTTTCAGGGGTGAGCTGGAAAAAAAGAAAAAAAAAAATGTGTGCAAAATTGCTCAACACGCATGTTTTTTTTTTTTTTTTTTTTTTTTTCGTTGTTGTTAATTGTTCGGTGGTGAGAAGAGAGAACAAGCGCAGCGGGAGCGCCAAAAACTTGTGCAGCGGATTGGTCCCCAAGTGCCCGCCTTCAAGTTTGTGAGCAAGACAGCGTGTGCGGATGCATTTCAACTAAACACCAAGATAGAACAACAGATGGATAATATGGCATGTCAACAGATCAAGAAGATGACGCTTGAGCACAGCACCCAGCTAGCGATACTGTTTTTTTACACCCCCTTGAGAAAAAAAAAAAAAAAAAAAAAACTATACAGTTATCTAGCGAAAAAAAAAAATAAAAAAGAATGTAGCATAGGAATGTGTGTGTGTGTATGCATACTGGGAACTCCCTTTTTTTTTTTTTTTTTCCTTTTTTCCACCTGCGTAGATACATATGCATAATGTGTATGTGTGTGCGGGTCATTTCCCTCTTTTGTTTGTTTTCTTTTTTTGTTTTCATTTCGCATAAACCGGGTGTATCTCCATCAACCAGTCGTCAGTAATTCATGTAGGCAACGTGGTGGCCTTACCCGTAAGCGTCTCATAGGGCTATTTTCACGCATCAGTGGGAATACTCACATTTAGGTCGAACACCCAATCGAGCATGCGCCTCGGCGTTGTGGTGTCTTAATATCAGTTGGTAATTTTGCAGGGCGACTTTTATCGATCCCCCCCTTTTAGGGACCTTTTTAAAGGTGTGTACAATGCGCACGCATTTGTGTGGTGGAGAATTGGAGGTGCGGCCGGTACGGCCATGGCTCCTCCAGCAAGCCTCTCCTCATGTAAGAAATGTAACCCAAGAGTACTCTTCTCCCAGCGTGCATTTGTTCCACCCCTAAATGGATCGCGCGCAAATTGGCTGGTTGGGTCTCAAAGTGTGAAATAAGGGGGAGTCCCTTCCCAGTGGGTACTGTCGTTTAGAGGGATCATTTCAAAGGGGCAGGAATCCCTACCAAATGGAAATAAGCAAACTGGTGTGACATGTCATGCAGAGATGGCTTCTGCCGCCGCGGACGGCAGCGGCAAATGTGGGGACGACAACAAGGTGGTACAGCCCCGATGCGATTAAAAAAAAAAAAAAAAAAAAAAAACATGCGTGTTGAGCAATTTTGCACATGGGCTGGGGTCGTCGTCGTCGTTGCCACGAAGAACGCACTTTCGTGTCAAAGGATGGGTGATCGTTCTTCCTGCATTGACAATCGTGTTTAACCATTATCGTGTGTGTTACCGTATACGCGTTATATATATATAGAATACCCACCAAGTGAAAGGGGAAAAATTAATCCACCAAGGACAGCAGCGGTGAGGAAAAGAAAAAAAAAAACAGCCAAGTGGAGCAACTGTCGGTCGCTCCCACCACAACGTCATGCGCCTAATATGACATGCCCAAGCACCTACTGGTCAAAGGCGCAGTGTACCTGGCGGCACTGGCCTGGTTGAGCAGCGCGGGCATACCGGGACTTCACAAATGGGTGATTCAAAACTTCCCCAGTTGCGTACAGATAGTGGAGAGAAACAGCCTTCTGGACGTGACGCACTTGAGCAGGAGGAACTTTGGACATGGAAGGGAACATAAAAAAGGAGGCCGTGATTGGAAGAAGAGACCAACAAAGATCGGGCATGTGGATAATCTTTTATTTGACATGAACCAACTCTTACACAAAGCGAACGTCCAGTTTGTTAACGATGAACAATATTTTTGCAAGCTCTCCTATTTAATAAGAAATGTGTTGAGGAAGTTTCCCCCGCAGAAAAACATCGTGTTCGCCATTGATGGTATTTGTCCTTTTTCTAAACTGAAGCTACAAATTAAAAGGAGAGCAAAAGCAAAAAAACTCAAGGATGGACACAACTCAAATGACATAACATGTGGAAGTCCCTTCATTCAGAAAATATCAAAATTTCTTCAAAAATTCGTAACATTTTTAGTATCCCTGCCAAAGTATAAACATATAAAAGTGTACGTTTCCACTGACAAGGAGGTGGGGGAAGGAGAACTCAAACTAATGAATTGGATCCAGAACTATGTAGGGGGGAGCCGCTCGTCGCATGAGGGGGATAGCAGTTGTGTCGGTGCCCGCAGTGCGGCAGACGAATCGTTCGTCATCGTGGGGGCAGATGCGGACCTTCTCCTTCAGTGCTTAGCTTTGAAAGACGTGCGCAATGTGTGTGTGTACACGTACCAGACTTTCCTCGTAGATGTGGGGGCGTGGGAAAGGGAGAAAAAGAAGGAGGACTACCTCGCTGGGTTGGCTCTCCCAAGTGGAAAGAAGCCAAATGGAGAAACTGACCATATGGACACCTCCACTCCAAAGTGGAAAAGGAAAAAAATAAAAGTCCTGTACAACCTAAACACATTTACCAACCTCTTTTGGATGAAGTACCCAAGCGCCATCGACCAAATTAGACGAGACTTGCTCATCCTCTTTATCCTAAAGGGGAATGATTATTTGCCCAAAATCAGGGAAGGTAATTTTTCCACTTTTTTTGAGGCCTATTTTAACATGCTGGACAGGGAAATGCATTTAGAACAAAATGGGGGCAGTCCCTACGGAGGACTTTTGACAAAGGAGTATGCTCTTAATGGGCCACAATTTTTAAAATATTTAAATCAAGTACATAAGCTAGTGAGCCTCCCAACGTATTACCTCCAGAGATTCAGAGATGCTGCAAATGAGGGTGATAATATTGGGGGAACAAAAACGCATGATGATGATGAAGGAGGAGGAGGCAGGGGGATGTTCAAAGAACACATGTCGTACCTCCCACTATCTCTCCTAAACGAACTGATCAGCAAAAGGAAAATAAACAAAGACAATCTGCACATTGAGGTGGAGAAGGAACAGGGATCCGATTTGTTCAGGTGCACCATGACACAGTGCTACATGGACGGAAGGACTTCCACTTATTGTGGTTCCTCTAGGAGGAAGAAAATTGCCATGCACCTTGCCTCTCATGATTATTTGGAAAGCGAATTCCCCTCATGCATGCGCTTTGTTGATTCGGGCCTCCTCAGGAAAATTGTCCAAGGGGGGGAGCAAACAGGACCCACCCAGGATGAAACTCTAAAAGAAAAAGGAGAATCACCACCCGAAAGGGAAAATGGAGAAATTCAAGGGGAAGTCCAACGTGTGGATCAGCCATCTGAAAAAGAACAAATGAGCAATCTCACTGTTGAGGAAGAACATAGCCAAACGGAACACTTCTTGAAAACCTTTTATGTGCAGAATTGTAGAGGGGAAAAAAATTTCCAGGAAGAAATGAACAGCTGCGAGAACTACATCCAAGGGGTCCACTGGTTAGTCCAGATGTACACACAAACGTGTTGCCTCAATTTTAACTTTTTTTACAAATACGCCACAAGTCCCTCCCTCCTCAGCTTGTACTACTTCCTGTCCGGGGGGGCTAGCGAGGGTGAGAAGGGAACCGACACAGAAAAGGATGATCGCGCAAACGGAGAGACAAACATCCTGCAGAACATCAACCTCAACGTATTCAGAAACAACCAGGAGTATCACAACTTTATAAATTTTTGCGTGGGGAAGTATGGACGGGGGGTTGAGCAGGAAGAACAAGAACCCCTTCGTCAAGCGCCCCAACAACATGACTTCGAAAATATATACGACATCCTGTTCTGCAGAAATGCAAATGTCGTCATGAGTAGGATTAAGAAATTGAACCAACAGTTAAAAGGAAACCTCCACATAAGGAAAGAGAATGTAAAGTACTACTGGGATGTGTATGCAAGTAGGCTGAAAAAATATTGCAAAATGATTTTTTACAAAGGGAAGAAAATATATATTGCCAAGTTTGCTCTCTTCCGGATTGCTCTCCAGAATGAGGACTTGCACAATGGGACAGGTGAAGGTGGGGGCGAAATACCTTCACGTGGATTCAACATGCCCAGTCGTATGGGCAAGACGCGTATCCATAGCTGTAACGATAGAGGGGAAGATTGTTCCTTTCTATATGGTGGCGGGAACAATCCGAAGAGGACACACAAGAGGGGCTTCTGCACGAGGGCTATGGGCGCGTACCCAGATGAGGTAGACCAGTTTTTTAGGGGGACCCCCAGAAAGGTGAAACGAGTTATTCACGTGAAACGGTTGAGACGGACCAATGTTGTTTTTAGGTAGGGGGGGGACCACATATATTGTCCTTCGTTAGGGCAATTTGTGTTCGTCTCGGGATTCTCCAAAATGTTGTGCATCCCCTTGTGCGGTTGCCCGCACACATGTTTCTATATAACTCCCCGGTTGTAACATCGCTCGTGCGTTCCTTTCCTTTCCTTTTTTTTTTTTTTTTTTTTGGTATCCTTTTTCGTCACGAACGTTACAACAATTGCGTTCGCAGGGCTGCTTCAGCACGAGGGGCGTTCACATAATTCTCACTTCCACCTCACTGCCCTAGTGTGCCCAAAGAAGTGCCCATTTTCCTTTCCCACCCCGTTCGAACAAAGAGTTGCCAAGGCACATCCGTGTAAATACCTCTCCAAACAAATGTGGAAACCCTGTCCCTCTTTCCGCACAAAGAGTTGATTCCCAAACAGATGTTTTTTAAAAATTCCATAATGGTGCTATAAAGAATGAGAAAAAGTGCCAAGTGAAGCAAACTGGAGCAAACTGGTGAGAAAAAAAAAATTAAAACAAAAATTCCCCTGTTGAAGTGAACAAATTTCCGTTGCTAAACGAACACTTTTTGGGAAAATAGTTTGTCATGCGAGAGAATTGCAAGGATGCAACTGTGCTAGATCTGGCCACGTGGCGCACACGAAACAACCCAACCAGGAATTAAAGTCGACGTCGCGAAGAGAGGGGCCTCAAAATAATTTCTCATCGTTTTGTTTTGTTCCCCCCAATGGAAATATCCCCATGCGGAAAAAGTGTACAAAATAAATATAGGAAATAACATGCCTGTGCCGATGGGGACGTATTTTATGCCTTTGTTTGGGTACTACCCAAATGTACTCATAAATGCATAATGATATGTTTCACCTTCGCATGCGGCTTTCCCCTCCACACCCCCCACAACGCCAAAACGAATAGTCCACTCTACATTCCATTTTTTTTTTTTTATACCACATTGTTGAAAGGGGTCGTTATACATATATATATATAAGGAACAACAACGCACCGATGAAGTGAGTAGAAATTTGTTTCTATCCCGTGATAGATTGTGTTGTAGTGAACCATTTTGTAAGTGGAATGGAAGAGGCAAATTTCTTGTTTTGTTTTGTTTTCTTTTTTTTTTTTTTTGTCGTAAATATTATGAACGTTCAGGCAGTTGTGGCTAATTTTTGGTGGTAGTCATAATAAAAAAAAAAAAACAAAAAAAAGTTATCATTTTGTTTTTTTTTTTTTTAAAAAGCCGAAGGGTTGTGTTTTTTGATGTTCACGATTTGGGATGGACTTGTGGTGGCGTTCGTTTCTTTTTTCCTCTTTTGGGGGTATTTAAGCGGCAGTTTGGAGCGCTTACACGAGGTAGCAAAAAAAAGGCAAACGTAACCCATCGTGGAAACATCGCTTCTCTGCCGCTTCCCTGCCGCAAAGATGGACGCGCTACTCGGCCAGCTGGAGGATGTCGAGCCAGACAACATCCTCAAAAGCGCGGAGGAGTTCAAAAACGATAAATCGGAAGTGAAAGTAAACCTGTCAATTGGAGTGTGCTGCGACGAGAATGGACAGCTGCACATATTTAAAAGTGTCCTGGAGGCAGAAAAATTAGTACAGGAAAGGTACAAGGAAAAACCATACTTGTTAAGCAACGGGACGAAGCAATTTTCCTTGTTAACGCAGAAATTGATCTTTGGAGAAAATTCAAAATATATAAAGGAGAAAAGAATATGCACAGTTCAGGCAATAGGAGGCACAGGAGCCATGTTCATAGCTCTGCAATTATTTAAAATGCTTCACATTCATGACATATGCCTAATGAACAGGCCGTATATAAACCACATAAACATGATAACGTCCTACGGATTTAAAGTTAAGTACCTTTGTTTTTTTGAAGAGAAATTGGTGAATATAAATTATGATGCCTTTTTATATGATTTGCGAAATTTGGAGGATGGATCTGTTATCATACTGCAGGTTTCCTGCTACAATCCATGCAGCACAAATATTGAGGCAATTTATTTTGACCAAATAGCAGAAATTGTTTGGAAAAAAAAACACATAATTGTCTTTGACGTTGCTTATCAAGGATTCGGATCCTCCAATTTGAACGATGATGTGTCCTTAATTAGAAAATTTGAAGAAAGAGGAATATCCTTTGTCGTGTGCCAATCGTTTTCGAAAAATATGTCCCTTTATGGTGAACGAGCTGGGGCATTGCACATTATCTGCAAGTCCAAAGAGGAGAGAAAAATTGTGGCAAATAATCTTCGCATCATTACTCGCAAATTTTACACCTCCCCCACGGTTCACACAAATAGAATTGTTTGCCAGGTTTTGGAAAATAAGAAATTAAAATCTGAGTGGATAAAAGACTTGCGGGAATTATCTGAACGTGTTCATAAGAATAGAATCCTCTTTTTTGAGAAAATGGAATTTCACCAGAAAAAGTTTGACCTGCATTACGACTGGAGTGTGTATAAGAAGCAGAGAGGGATTTTTTCTTTCGTCCCACTATTTGCTGAAATTTGCGACATGCTGAAGGAGCACCACGTCTACATCATTGACAACGGGCGAATTAACGTGTCTGGCATCACGGCCCACAATGTGGACTACGTGGCCGAGAAGGCGTGTTTTTGCCTGGCGGTCAAACGAAGTGGCCAGGCGGGGGACATACAACAGAGCTGAAGATATTTTTAAATACCCCTTCATGAGAGGAAGGGGAAAAACCCATTTGAAGGAGAACCTCTCCCATCCCGGCGCGGTACCCTTTTTCGAATCGCGGGGGTGTGTGCAGTAGAAGGGAAAACAAGGACGCATCATTCCTGTGTGTGTCTTTTTGCCCTCCTTTATTTTTTCATCCCCCAAAGAGGTGTACCTCTTTTTTTGGGAACATTTGTCTGCACGTGAATTATGCACATGAATTATGTACACGAATTATGCACACGTGGGGGCAGAAGGAGATGTGCATCGCGCAACATATTGGCCTCTCCAAACCAGTGCGCACAGATAATATAGTGATGAAACGAAAAGGGAAATCTCGTCCCCCCCCTCTTTGAACAAATAATGATCGTGACATTTGCTGCATTTTGCGAAACAGTCTCGTTTTATTTAATATACGCTTGATCAATTTAGGTGATATTACTTATTTATTTATTTATTCCTTTTTTTTTTTTTTTTTTTTTTTTTTTTTTTTTTTTTTTTTTTTTTTTTTTTTTTTTTTTTTTTTTTTTTTTTTAATTTGAGGTGTGTATTTTTTCCTCTCCTTTTGTCCAGTTTGTCTCATCATCGCAACTAACCATTCGTGACATAAAGTAGAGTTTGTACTTGCGGACTGCTGTATGCGCAAGTCCGTGTGACGTGGAATTATTAATTTGGCTGCACTTTTGCATTTGTCTGAGTTCCTCCATTTGGCTTCTTTCCATTTGAGGGCCAGGCTTGTGGTCTGAAAAAGTGGACTAACATTCCCGGTGGGGAAACGTGAACGTCGTTACGCTCTGGAAACGCCTCCAACCGCCGGGAAAGCATTTCATTAGCGGGAAGCTCCCCAAAGGCTGTGGAGTCTACCACAACAGGACACCACCCCCAACCCCGTGAACTTAAAAGATAAACAAACGGGCAAAAATGAACTCGGAAAATTTATCGCAGAATTTGAAGAAGCATATGCAAAGCTTATTAATAAGGGTAAACTGAGGGAGGAGTGTAATGGGTTCACACTGTGATGTAACCAACTCATATGGGGAAGACTTCTCCCTTCCTCCTATCGCCAAACCGTCCATTATTCGAAAGTTAAAAAAAAAAAAAAATTGCTAACCGATAAATTTCCCAGCTAAAACAAAACCTCAAACTGACATGTTTTGTTGTTTCTCCCCCCCGCCCTGTATGCAGAAATCAGACATATCCTATTACAACCAAAACAACATCGTAGATATCATCACCGGGGTTCTGGACAAATATTCAGATGCGAACACGAACGAAATTAACGTCGAAGTGGGTTCCTTTTGGAAGCAGTTCACTTGTTTTGTTTGGCGCCGCTTCGTCTTGTTTATTTCTTTTTTTTATTTTTACTCCACGGGAGAATATGTGATCCGTATGGCACATTAACCTACGTTATCGTCTTTTTTTTTCTCGTGCCCACCCGCAGAATGCCATAAAAAATATAAAAGAAAATTTGGACAAAAGCTTTGGAGCCGGCTGGATATGCCTGATTGGGGAGTCTTTCTCTTTCAACATTTCGGCGAAGGTTAGTAGGGCGCGCGCGTTTCTGTGAGGAAACTGCGTGACGTCCTCATGTAGTGGCTCACCGATTACGCTCCCCTTCTACACCACTGACATTCCACTGACATGCCGCTGATGCACCACCCCGCAGGAGAACTCTTTCCTATTCTGCTTCTATCAGGGCTATTTAGCTATCGTGGTGTATAAATGCTGAGGCGGGAGCAGGGGAGGGGAAGACAGGAGTGTGTGTGGGCTCTCTGGGGTGAAAGAAAACACCTTAAGTGAGCATTAAAGGAAGGTCCTTTGGGAAGCAGGGAAGTGGCGTAGAGGAGGCAACAGGAATGAGAACACGCATAACGAGATCTTTGATGGTACGCCAATATATATATACATATATATATACATACATATATATATATATAACGATGCGCGAGAGTGACCCATTGTTGGAACACAGATATGCACAGAAACGTGAAGACAAGTGGACGGGAGGGGACGGCCCTCTCCTTTATCAACACAAAAGACATGAGTAAAGTTGGTGCAGGAAAAAATATAACACAATTAAATTTGGAAAAGTGTGAACAGGCATCCATTTTACTTGATAATCTGAGCACATTTGATGAGATAGGTGCGTTGGAAGAGGGGCGATGTTATAAGGACAACCCAGCAAATCATGCGTCTTTATTTAATTGGCAAAGGGGGAATGTGCAGGGGGAGAAGGAAAAGTCCCCCTTGCGTGCAGAACTGACGGAAGAAGATTTGATCTCAGATTTTTATAAATATGTAGGTGTGCCTGGGGTTGCCTCTGGGTGGATTCCCTACACGAAGGATGTCCCCAGAAGGGAAGAAAACATAAGTTACTTTTCCAACATGGAACGTGGTGAAGAGGTGCCAAGAGAGAGTTACAAAAGGGGGCAAAATATAACACATTCGCAGAGAAGTGACTCCATCACAGCGCACTACAACGGGGAAATACAAACGGCGTGTGGTAAAGAGGCAAACAATGTTAAGGAAAAGAAAAGGACCAATGCAAATAAATACGTGTTCAATTTAAGGACAGCTAAGAAAGAACTGATCAAAGACAAGAAAGGAAGTTTTAACAATACAGAAAAGACCATTACGTATGTAAACAAATGCGATAGGGATGTGATAAATTTTCAGAAGGAAAAAAAGTTGAAGGAACAAATACGGATGCACGAGGAGGAAAAGGAGAAAATCAAAAACAGCTTTGAAGACATTATAAAAAACATAACAGAAAAATATGAAACACAGGAAGAAAAAAAAAAAAAATTAATAACAAACATTTATAACAGGTATATGAACATGCGAAATGAGTTTAACAAAATGAAGAGTATCACTGAAAATGTGAAATCAGAAAATAAAAAATTTAAAGAAGAAGTGGACAGATTAACTGCTAACCCTGTGGAGAGGACCCTCCTCAATGATTATAAAAACAAGCTACAAAAATACATACTGTTAGACGACTTTAAGGGGAATAAGATTCAGGAGTTGGAGAGACAAATACAATCTGTGCGCACCTCCGCAGAGGCGCTCGCCAAAAAAAACGCATCTCTGGTGGAGGACAAGAAACGCTTACTTAAGAACAGTGAAAATTTGAAGAGGGATAATATACAGCTGCAAACGGACTTGGAAAATGCGAGACGGGAAAACCAGCAACTCAGAGATGAACTCTTTTACAAGGACATGAAAATGAACTACCTGGTCACCATTTTGAACGTGCTCGATGAGACTATCCTGGGAGATGGTGGGTGCAGAGAAGTTCAAAGGGGAGGAGTGGCTCAAAGGCGAGGAGCGACGCAGAAGGGGGGTGCCATTCAAAAAATGAACAAGAAAATATTAATCAAATCGATCGTCCAAAAAATAAAAGACATAAATAAGAAAATGCTGAAACAGGAGGAAATGGTGGGAACGTTACAAAGCAAAGTGGGGGTCGTTGAAGAGGAGACCTGCGCAGAGGTCATCACACGGAATGACACACACGAGGAGGGGGAAAACCAAAATGAAAATCGCAAACTACTAGAAGCCTATTTCAATTGCAACAACTTTATTCTGAACGAAAGTGCACGGGACGTGACCACGGGGGAAAACATACATGCAGCCTTTTTTGTGAATGGTGGTAACGCGGGGGGCAAAGCTTTTAACCACTGTACAGATCAGCTGGACCAAGTGGGAAACGACCCCACCGCTGATGTCTCGGTGGCGGGGGCAGACGGAGCAGAAGTGAACAACGGCGCGCAGTAGAGATGAATAAAGGCGCAGCACAAATGGCATGTCGTAGGAGGCACCATGGCCTCTCTCCTTACCACCACTTTAATAAAAAAAAAAAAAAAGACCACAATTGTTTGTTTCTTTTGCGCCTCTAAATAGGTAAAGTTTACTTTTTTGTGTGTTTAATTTTTAAATTTTTTTTTTTTTTTTTTTTTTTTTAAATTGACTTACACCCTTGGAGGAGCGTGTGCAGGGGAGTATATATATGTACGTATAAATGCACACATAAAAATCAAATTAACTGGTGAACATGTGGGTCTATATCTACATGTGTGAATTATGGGGGACGGGCATCACCGGCCGTTCACCTGTGCAGGGTCTTTTGCGCGCGGTGTGGGGGGCACGCAAAGCGCACATGAACGAGAACATAAACATAAGGATACGCATAATGATACAAACACATACTCATATATGCACACATATATATACATATGCACGACGCGGGGGGGGGGGGAGGGCAAGACATAAACCCTGTAAGAGAGGTAACCCCTCTTCAATATATACACACGCAAAAACGTTTTTAAAATTAAAGCTTTATCGAAGTGGTAATTATGAAGGGAAAAAAAAAAAAAAAAAAAAAAAAAAAGGCATAAATCTCAGATGTTTTTGTTTTTCTTAAAAAGGAGAAAGCTTTGTAAAATTTTATAAATAAACATTAAATCTTATACACAAAAAAAAAAAAAAAAAGACAAAGAGAAAGAAGAAGATGAAAAAGATGAAGAAAAAAAGCTATAATAAACCAAGTTGGACAAAATTGAGAGAAAGTGAGAAGAATAAGGAGACGTGAAATGAAACCTGCTGCAGCCAGCGACTGTAACTGTCGCAACAGTTCGGGGTGGCATGATTTTTTTCTCTTTCGTTAAAATGTCAGGGTGCGAGAAAGGAATAAAAAAAAAACACATTATTTTGTTTTACTTTACTTGGCTATATTTTTCTTCATTTACTTTTTTTTTTTTTTTTTTTTTTGGAATTTTCCTCCTGCGCGGGTGAAGGGTGGAAAAAAGGAAATCGGGCCGATGTGTACTCGGGTTTCACATACATTGCGCACATGCGCTGACAAACACAACTTGGTGTGTGATGGGGGGGGGGGGCAAACTAAAGCTTCCACTCTTCCTTTCGCTCTCGTGAATCGGTGTGTTTGCATCACTCCCCGTATGCACCATTCGTTTTCGTTTCGCTTCGTTTCGTTGGTTTCCTTTTTTTGTCTCTACTCGTTTTGCGTTGGGTAGGAAGACGTGGGACTTACCTCGATGATCTCTTGAGCTAACAAGTTAGCCTTTTCCGTTGTTTCCTTCAATTTTGTTTCATCCTGCTTTTGCTTCTTCGCCTGGTTCTTCAACTCATCCTTCTTCTTCTTTTCCTCATCCGCCTTTATTTTGTTGTGGTGGAAGATGCGGTATGCGTCGGAGATGATGGTTTCGCCTGTGCGGTGTGAAGGGGTTTAAAAGGGTTAGCAAACGACACGTCACAGAATGCTGTGTGTCATCTATCACATGCAGTGGACACACCCTTCGTATGTATGTGTGTGTATGTATGAGGCGGTGAATCCCGTGGACATTTCCACCAGGTGCAAAAATAAGCAAAGGCATGGTGACACCCCTCCTGCACGTCACCGTAAAGGGAAGGGGTGTATCTCTGTTTTTTTTTTTTTTTTTCCTTTTCCTTTCTTTTGTATTACCCCATCTTGGAGATAAGCAGTTGGCCTCATAAATGATCAAATTGAATTCTTGTAAAAACTCTTCACATTGCTGCAGGGAGGTGCCAAAAAAAAAAAAAAAAAAAAAAAAATCACATAAGTGTACACAGTTACACATGTACAAATATGCGTATATAACGAATTGGGCCTGGCCACAGTGACGTAGACAGGGAGAGAGTCTCGTTTTTTTTTTTTTCCACTTACCCCGTCCAGCTCCTTGGACATATTATCATCGATGTAGTAGTTATTGTATAAGCGTTGCTTTTTATTTTTGTCTTGAAATATTTTATTGCATATGGGGAGGAAGTAGATGGCCTTCTTTAGCAGTAGCACCTTAAGCTTGACGATGTCCTCAGTGGACAATTTTCTTTGCGCAGGAAGGGGAGGGGGACAAGGTGTTGCATGTGTGGGGGGGGAGGGGGAAAGAAGTAAGACACTCGAACTGTGAGCCGCTCACACTGTTAGCGGTGAATGGACACGAACGTACCTCATCCAGTTGAGGCTAGGATCACAGGGCTCGCTGTCCTTGGCGTACTGCTGGTCATTGTAAATGTCGTCCAGCAGACTCTCCAAGTATTGCTCGTTCTGTTTGTCCACCTCATTTGAGTCTGAGTTCAGCTCCTCCAAAATGTCTGTGCTATAATTGACTTCAATCTTCCTCTCCGTTTTGAGGTAGTACTTGTATTTTTCGATTTCATATTTCTTCGTGAAATTCTCATATGCACAAAATTGTTTATTTTCATATCTTAAACAGTTAAAAAATTCATTTCTTTTATTTTTTTCATGAATAAAGGTGCACACGCTTTTATATATAAAACAAGAAAATGCGATGAACGGAATTATAACAAATGTGAGATATAACAATATCATCTTTTTTACTGGGGAGGTCGTAAAAAAAAAAAAAAAAAAAAAAAAAAATTAGGGGACTTGTTTTTTTTCTGTGTGCATGCAAATCAGAACAAATTCGTTTCTTGTTTTGCCTGTGACATAGTTGGCCAACCAGTAGAGAACTCTGAACGGGGGGAAAACTACAAAGGAGACTAACAAATGGGGCTACAGAGAGGCGCTGTAGAATGGCAGCCCCAACAGCGCAGAGGCAGCATGTGCTGGATTATACAAAAAGAAGAACTGGCATGAAGACCAAGGGGTGGTGCGCAAAGCTACAAACGCAAAAAAAAAAAAAACAAAAAAAAACCCTAGTATGGCATAACGCTAAAGCCTGGAACATGCAAGGGGCAAAAATCACACCGTACAAATGGCCCCACCAAAGTAGGATGCGGGAACATAAGCCTAAAAGGAGAACAGAGCTGTAGGATTGCACAAATGCATTACTCTGCGTAACAGGGTAACTGCGCAACTACGTAACTACATAACTGCATGATCGCGTAAATGGAATTAAATTATACGTGGTACGAATGGGCAAAACACAGCAATGATAAAATGCGAAACGATTAGAAAAAAAAAAAATAATTAAAATAAAAATAAAAAAAAACTGACGCAATGAAGGAAAGCTTTTTCGATTTTTTTCAACTCTTTGCAGTTTGAGCAAATTTGTTCAAAGTTGAAATGCATTTTTTTTTTTTTTTTTTTTGTTTTTTTTTCCTCACAATGTGCCGCAAAATAACACCATAGATTCGCCCAGGGGGGAAAACGAGGGGCACAATTTATTTTATGCACACCGCATTATAAACGAGTACATAAAATAAAAAGGGCCAAGATAAGCTAAACTATAAGCGGCGTACATTCTAAAACCGTTTTATGGAACAAAACAAAAAAAAAAAAAAAATACACAAATGCGTGCAGGTGAGGGAAAATATTAACAGTTTTATATCTCCTTTTCTTTTATTTTATTTTTTAATTTTTTTTTTTTTTTTTTTTTTTTTTTTTTTTGC